AGTTGGCTATGATTTTAAACCAACTTGTTGGACTCTACCAGTCATACATGTTTTGACAAAGACATGTTATTAATCACCGAGTAGGGAACTGTGCCACACTCTTTCTCACATAAATGGTACTAAGTCTGATGATGATAAGTGGAACGTATTCGAGCTTTTACCCGTCTTTATAGTCTATCCGAGCTATACTATGGAGTAGATGCAAGACAAGCCGACTTTCTCTGAAGTGGTGGATAGATTCCATGTTATTTCTTGTTTTTTAATTCATCTAGTCAGTTTATATCTCAATTCCATTGCAGTGGCCAACATGGTGTCAAATATGGGTATGCAAGATTGCACACTGTATTATAGCTCTATAGAAATTGCAGTTCTCCTTATCTCGAAGGGGATCAGGAAGAATGAGAGGTGATATTTGTTACTGTCTAACAATACAGGTTCAGGTCTGATACTCCCATAAATCCTCAAGGACTGGATCGAGGTTCAGCGCATAAAGAAGCCGTACGAAGCATGAAATGGACAAGTCGCTGTGGAGCGTCGACTGTATAGCGTTGACTCATCCTCACAGGGATGTCATATCAGTACTGCTGTCCATTCGATGGTGTATTATCGTCATCCATCCGGTGTTGCATGTAGTTTCATCGAGTAAAGAATCAGTAGGAGTGTGATACTACCGCACATTATGTAGAATTTTCAATTTTTTTAACTAAGTTTAATGAAGAACTAGAGCTCCCAGCTTGACAAGTAAGGTTGAAGTAAAGACAATAATAAGTTGGCAGATGAAGAATCACGATACTCTACGCTGGTTTCATATAACCCTCAAAAAGAATGAGAGGTGCCTATACGATTTGATCTCTCTCGCTGTCTCGGTTGACAGTTCATGGGGAAGATCAGATTAACAGCAAATGCTCGATCAAGTCAAGTCTTCATCAAACTGTCCAACATTTAATTACAATGCGCACTTTGATGCCGATGGAAATTCATTCGTCGATTGAATTATAGTAATAAATGCTTTAGGTAATGTCCTGATCATTCCATCGGTAGAAATGAAGAGAGAGAGAAGTCTGTATTAAGCAATTCTGCTCAATATTGAAGTCACAAATGTGCTATTGTTTCCGCCTTCTTTGCTTTCAAAAATCAAAATCAGACCTGTCTGGTAGAATCGAACTAGTCAGTCAGCTCGTTGAATGCAATTGTTTGATATGCAGTCATTGTTGACTATCCAGTGTTACATCAATTTAAGAGTTTTACTTATGGTCACAACAATGGATAGTTACTATGTGAGTCATACGTAATCTGGCTTCGATCGATGATCGATACCAAGGGTTATCTGGAGGATCATCATATCTAATAATAGTCTACCTAATAATCTTGACCAAACAGAGAATCTTATCGCTTCATCCTGCAAATCACTGATAGATCTAGAAGAATAGAATATTCTTGAACCGGTCGTAGAAGTTATTTTTGAGTCGAGGATTTGGCGTAGATACCAACTCAAGTCGATATATCAGGTCCTGATGGATTTTTTTTGCCAGAACATTCGCTTCCTGGCTTATCTACCTACAGAGGCCTGCTTATATGTCATCATATAGAGTATTGATTCAGTTTTATTACTTTTTGGCTTTCCAGTCGGTGTTACACCGTAAGAAGTACTGTGCTTCTTCATACTTTGGGTAGATTCCTCTGCAAGCAGTACTAAAACCGAGGTAACAGATTAACTACAAACCACCAATGATGTCAGTGGCTTTCTGCTATAACTTGCACTCTAACAAATGCCGATCATATGTTCTTGCTGGGCCTTGGCAAAATTCGACCACTTGCCGCTCTGTCAGCTTATGTTCTACTGCACCGCTGGAATACTTGAGTTGGTGTCATGCCTTAGCGTGAGAACCTTCTGCATGCATCCTGCATGTTGGCGGACTTAGGACTAGCTGATTGCCTCGGGCCACTATTTTAACTGCAGGTGTCAGATGTTAGATGGATGTACTCTGTAGCTATGTACAGAGTACAGAGTACATGTACAGTGTTCATAGAGTATGTACCCTGTACTTGTCAGGTAGTCAGCAGTGAAGTACACTACTGACCCTAGTACATCGGACTATTTCGCTCCCTACGCTACCTACACCTACCAGGTAGGCACCCTCTACTCTGTACGGAGAATTATTAATTCAAGACAAATGTAAATCTCCTCTGCTGTCATTTAATTATTATTGAGGAGTAATCTTCCACCTGCCCGTGGATACGAGTGGGCCACACACAACGTGACCAATGACCACACCCCAGAGTCATTCTCAACGCAGATAGCAGCCGAAAATTTTATTCCCTCTGAGTGGAATAACATGGAAGCTAACAGCGACGATCTATCCGGCTTATGGCACACCGTTCACCGCGGAAAAAAGTGCGGGGGTACATAGTGGGTTAGGCTAGCTGCGTACTTAGTACTTACAGGTATTAGTCTTAGCCTTAGGCACGTTTAGCCAAGCTGCCCAAGCACAGCGAAGGATTCTTACTCCGCACTTTGCGTGCGCTGTACTCCGTACCTAGGTAGATGTTCCCGTACTCCGTACGTACTCTGTACTACACTACTAAGTCCTTCGCACTCACTTCGAGAATCATCCGCTGGCAGGTAGATCTGGAACCGATCTGAAGATCTTAATAAACAAACGGACTCATCTGCTAATCAGATCGTGATCTACTCCGCATGACTACTGATCGATGCAATGATGTTTTGCAGAAGCTTGCATATGACATGCTGCGACTGTATGTATCTGTGGTGCTCTGTACTTACTCGTCCAGTCGGACTACAAGTATATATATATCGGGAGCAGCTGCGAACTTCATCGAGAGTGGTGTTTGCTTGAGACAAAAACAGGGAAAAAAGACTAGGCTTTCCAGAATTGACGAAAGCTCAGGATGATGTCTATAATCAAGCTTTCTTGGGCTGCCCTCCCAATTTGAAGAACCTGCTAAACTGTGCGCACACTTTTGAAAAAGCATTCGCGCATTGAACGAATGAATCCTCTACAATATTAATGGCCACTGCTAATAAAACCTCTAGAGGTACTGCTCTCGATCGATAGATACTGCCTTCCATGTCTTCGATGTCCTCTCCAGTTCGTGCTGTAATTACTGTACGTACTGTATGTAGTGCTTGACCTCAGCCTAGACTAATGTTAATCACACTCCTAACGACAGATGTAGTTAGATCGTCCCTCCAGGATCTGGCGTCCCGGCTCGATCTATGTAGGACCGTCTCTCGCAAGTCACACCGCCGTTCATTGCTAGGGCAGAAAAATTTTCATGACCCCTGACCTTCGTTCGCACCGGCGACTACTACTAAATAAACTAGGCATGGAGTAGCTAGCTATCTCCTTTCCACGGTTCTAGATATTTCCCCCCCCTTTTTACATTTTGTGTACCTTCTCACTCTGCTTCCTCCTGAAGGGCTGATGCCGGATGGAGTTGCGATCACCTGACCAGGTCCGCGGAGGCGTTAAGCGCAAGGACCCTGATGACTTGAAGAATCATGAATAATATTCACAAATGAACTGGCAACTAGCAGGGCACCCTGGGAGGAATGTTGGCAAGGTCCCAGGGGAACTGACAAATGAGAACCAACCTCCTCACCATTAATCAACAACTCTGTTGGTTAAATAGTTTGTTTAGGCCAGAGACCCCCGCCTTTTCGCGCGGAGAACGGAGTACATGTCTACTGAGTGCATAGGGCTTACCTACCGACCTTGGTACTCCGAGGTAACGTCCTCCACAGCGGGCCCAGTTAGTTCACATGCTCGAGCTCCAACCGGTCCGGCCGAAAATGCCGAAAAAAGGAAAAGTGTCAACAGATCATCGCGGCGGCACACTGCCTAACCTCCATATAGGGCGCTCTAGTTGGGAGAGGCAAATCCTAAGCCGTCGCGCGGAAGTAAGTGTGCTCTGTAGTTAATTAAATTGCTTGCCAGCCTTGACAAATAAACGAAGACGAAATTATTAATTAACTGCGCGCTAATCTCACTGAAGTACTGTTCCTCCGAGTCTAGGAATCCTGACCCGCCTGCTCTCCGGCATCGAGTCCAACCTCCAGCTTCCGAACCCCAGGAACCCGCACTTCCTGGCCGTTTTCCCCATGGGCATCCTGCTTGGCCCAGAATGCGCTGCCGTCCCGCTCCCCGCAAGAACCCGACGACCAAGTCCGATTGTCCGAAGCCCTCGAAAGCCAGACGTCCACTCAGGCATGGCTATGACCCAGGATCGGCGCCCGTATAGAAGAATCCAGCAAGGTCCCAAGACAGGGTGTGATAACGATGGGCGTCTCCTAGCCGTGCTAACAGGCTAAAGTCGGAGGAGACCACTATCCGATTTCCAGGCTCCCAGGCGGATTGCCCCTGTTCATGAGGAATAATCTGCTCTGTACGGAGTAGTCTGCACTCTGTACTATGCTAAGAAGCTCTGGAGTGATTTCGTGTACCTCCACTGCCCGTAAGCTGTACTAAGGATTCCGTCAACAACAGTCGAGGTGAGGCAATCGACCAGCAGAGCCGCCGTCCCCATTGACCCATTTCCCAGCCATGGGGTACCTATGGAGAACGGATACGGATCCATCTGCAATCCATCGGCGCCCAAGATGAACGGAGTACTCCGTACGGACGGTCTTCAGACTAGTCTAGCTTAGCTTTGGCCGCTAAACCTGAGCCATGACCCATTATGGTTCCTCTTTCTGCCGTCCACCGCAGCTCGACCAAAGAGGGGACGAGTTCCCTGACATCATTGCCCAAGAGAGACAAAACGATCATCACATGTGCGGGTCAGAGCTCCTCGGTCTAGCGTAGTAACGCTGTACTCCATAGTAGCGCAGGAGTGGGTAATCTGGGGGAGCTACCTCTCCGGACATAAAAGGAGCAGTCCGTAGCCCCAGCTACCCCAGGATCGCCTCTGACTGTCCTCCGCACTCTTCGGACGGCCAGACGTTGTTAAGGGGGCTTTCTGTGTGTGAACTATTCAAGATGCGCGTCTCGTCCGCTCTCACCACGCTCCTGGTTGCGAGCCTCGGAGCGGCCAGTCCGGCCGTTCCAACCAACAACACCGCGCCTGAAGTAGCCGGTCCAGCGATTGAGATATCATCCGCGACTGAGACAGCGACCATACAGTCTCCAGCACACTCGCCGGCAGAAACGCCGGCAGCGGAGTCGCCCAGTCCTACCGCTGCGCCGGCACCAGCAACACCATCGGCCGACTCAGCGTCTGAAAAGGGCGCTTCACCATCTCCAGCATCTGCAGTGTCCTCGTTCCTTTCGGCACTGGCGGGTTCTGGAGCTCCTAAAGCAACGTCAGCGTCCGCGACGTCCCCGAAAGAGACCACTGGCGCATCACCGACCTCGAGCGGGTCGAGTCCCTCTGGTTCCTCCTCTTCTTCGTCTGGCGGAGGCGACCTGGGCGAGCTGGGAAACCTCTTGGGCTCCTTCTTGGGCGGTGGGCCGTCGGGTGGACTGGCTACCCTTCTCAGCGATCTCGACAACTACTTGAAGGGCATCACCGGTCTCCTGTCTCCCACCCTTTTGGAGGACATCGAGTCGTTCTTCCACCACATCGCATACCTTCTCGATGACACAACCACCCAGCAGGCCAAATCGCTGATTGCAACGGCATACAACCTGCTGTCACCGGAGTTGATCAAGGAAGTGCAGAATCTTTTGACCAACGCCAACGCCTTGCTCACCCCTCAGTTTGTGAATGAGACGCAAACCTTGATCGGCCAGGTCTCGCCCATCCTCAACGAGGTTGCTCCTCTCCTCACGCCGAAGTTCTTCAACGAACTTACGAATATCCTGGACAACGCCAATGCCTTGTTGACACCCGACTTTGTCAAGGATACTCAGTCTTTGATCACTGAAGTGGCTCCAGTTTTGAACGACTTGAAGCCGCTCTTGAGCACGCAATCGATCAATGAGATTGAGTCTCTCCTGAACAATGCTAATGCTCTGTTTGAC